TTTCTTTTATGAATTAATGCTTTTGATGTCAAGATTAAGAATTTTTCCTTAGCTCTGGGTCTCAAGGTTTTTCTCCTAAGTTCTTTTTTCTAAAAGTTTTATAATTGTATATTTTCCACTTAAGCCAGTAATCTATTTTGAGTTAAATTTTTAATAATGTAGGGAGACTTTGGTTGAGGTTCATTTTATTGCCTGTGGGTGTTCAATTACTCCAGCACTAATTCTTCCATTGAATTGCTTTTTCAACTTCATCAAAAATCAGTAGGGCATATTTGCGTGGGTCCGTTTCTGGGTTTTCTGTTCTGGTCCATTTGCCCATGTGTCTATCTCTTCACCAGTAGCACACTGTACTGATTACCGTAGCCACAGAATGGGCCTTAACATTGGGTGCAGTGACTCCTCTCGCTTGATTCTTCTTTCTCAGAATTTTACTTTAGCTACTCTAGGTCCTGTGCCTTTCCATATAAAATTTAGAATAAGCTTGTCCATGTCTGCACAAAACTTTGCTGTGATTTTTCCAGGAATTAAATTAAATCTGTAGGTCAATTAAGGGAGAACTGACAGCCTCCCTATGCAGAGGCTTCCAGTTCATGCACACAGTACGTCTCTCCATTTGTTTAGGTCTTCTTTGATCTCTTTCATCAGTATTTTATAGTTTTCAGCATGTAGACCCTATACATGCTGTGTTAGATTCACACCTACATATTTTATTTTATTTTTTTTCTTTTTCTTTTTTCTTTTATTTTTTGAGACAAGTCTCATTCTGTCACCCTGGCTAGAGTGCAGTGGCGCCATTACAACTCATTGCAACCTCAAACTCCTAGGCTCAGGTGATCCTCATGCCTCAGCCTCCCGAGTAGCTATGACTACAGGGGTGTGGCAGCATACCCAGCTAATTTGTGTCTATTTTTTGTAGAGATGGGGCCTCACTCTCACTCAGACTTGTCTTAAACTCCTGACCTCAAGCAATCCTCCCACCTAGGCCTCCCAAAGTGCTCGGATTACAGGTGAGAGCCACCATGCCCAGCCATCTCTTTTTGCAGATTCTTTGAAATTTTTTATGTAGACAAATGTGTAATCTGCAAATAGGGGCAGTTTTTACTTCTTCCTTTCTAATCTCTATCTTTAATTTATTTTTCTTGCCTTATTGCACTGCTGAAACTCCAGCACTATATTGAAAAACAGTGCTGACAGTGCTTTTTTTCCTGATCTTGGGGGAAAAGCATTCAATGTTCCACTATTGAACATGATGTTAGTAATAATCTTTGTAGATGCTCTTTTTTAAGTTGAGAAAATTCCCTTCTTTCCTAGTTTGCTGAGAGTTTTTATCATGAATATTTGTTGGATTTTGTCAAGTGCTTTTTCTGTGTTTTTTCATGTGTATTCTGCTATTGTAGGACTGCCTGTTCTATATATGTTAATTAAATCCTGTTGGTTGGTTATATCATTCAGTTCTACCATATCCATCCTGACTTTCTCTCTAGGAGTTCTGGCAACAGCTGAGAGTGATGTTTAAGTCTCCAACTATAATATGATTGTGTGTGTGTGTGTGTGTGTGTGTGTGTGTGTGTGTGTGTGTGTGTGTGTGTGTTTGAGTCTCGTTCTGTTGCCCAGGCTAGAGTGCTGTGGCATCAGCCTAGCTCACAGCAACCTCAAACTCCTGGGCTCAAACAATCCTCCTGCCTCAGCCTCCTAAGTATAATATGATTGTTGATTTGTCTATTTCTTTTTTTCATTTCTATCAGGATTTTTCCGAATACATCACAATATGATGTTGTATAGTTTTCTTATTTATATATATAAATTGACATATATATATATTTTGTATATATGTCTGTCATCAATCTATATCTACCTATATCTCATCATAGTCAGTGTTATTGATGTTTTGCCACTTTGAGTGAAGTGTAGAAACTTTACTTACATTTAGGTCTCTTCATCTTCCTCACTTTTTAAATATACTTGTCTGAAGTATTTCCTCTACATATGTTGAGCAATATAATTCTCTTCTTATGAGACTGACAATATAAGTGCTAGCTCTTTTGTTATTGTTCCACAGATCCCTGCATTTCTGCTCATTTGTTTTATTCTCTGTTGTTCAGATTGGATAAATTCTATTAATCCATCTTCAAATTCACCAATTCCATTCTCTCTCATATCCACTCTATTATTGGGGTCATTATGCAAGTTTGTTATTTCAGTTCTTGTATTTTTCAATTCTATAACTTGCATTTGGTCCCTTTTTATTCCTTTATTTCTTTGCTGATATTTTTCCATTTTTAAACTTTGTTTCAAGAGCATTTGTAATTACCTTTGAAGCACTTTTATGACAGCCACTTTAAAATCCTTGTCAGATAAATCAAACATCTGATTCTCTTGGTGTCAGTATCTATTAATTTTCTCATTTAGGTTGTGATTTTCCTGGTTCTTTTATACAAGTGCTTTTTCTATTGTATCCAGGGTATTTGCATATTATATTATGAGATGCTATTTAATCTTGAAGTATAGCAAAAGGTGGGTATGTGTATGTTCATCTTCCTGCTAAATCCCATCAATACCTCCCTGGTGAAAAAGGAGCACTGATTCCTTTTTGCAGATGGGTAAGGTATAAGCTCAGCTCCCTCTTGGCTCTGCCGACACCGGGGTAGCAGAGTGGGGAAGCAGAGTGCCGACTAGCCCTAGTGCCCACCACCTCACTGTGCCTCACTGATGCTGGGTGAGGTGGAGGCTCAGCTCCTCACTGGCTCCTGCTAAAACCAGGGGAGGGGGAAGCAGAGTATTAACTACCCCACCTCATAGCTCTTCATCCTACTGATGCCATGTGAGGTGGAGGCTCAGCTCCCCACCATGTCCACTTTAGGGGTTGAGAGGGCAGGGAGGGGAAGGAGCAAAGTGGCCACTAGCCCTGCTCTGCACTGCCTGGTCTAGTTTCTTGTTGCCATGTGGGTGTGGAGCTTCTGCTCCTCACTGGACCCACTGACACCAGGGGTGGGGAGAATATAGAGTGGTGACTGGTCCCCACTCACACCTCCCGGTTTAGTCTAATTGATGTCAGGGGACTCAGCTCCTTACCAGACCCCTGCTGACCTCAGGGTGGGCGGCTGAAGCATACCGGTAATGACCCCCGCCATACGGCACCTCATTGGTTCTTGCTGCTGGGTGGAGGTGGAGGCTTGGCTCACCCATGGGTCCTGCTGACACTACTCTAATGGAGGAATCTAAGCGCCACTTATTTCCACAAGGATGGGGATGAAAGATTAGCTCCCTACTCAACCCAGCCAACATCACCAAGCAGGGCAATGGGAGTGCTACCCTCCGCTTCAGCCTACTTCTTTGGGTCAGGGTCAGGTGGAAGATCAGCTCCCAGCTGGGCCCTGCTGAAACTGTTGGGGGCAGCTGGAGGTTAGGTTTTTCTGTTGTGTCTGATGTAGAATGGATATTGACAAAAAAGTTTTCTCTTGTTAGGCCACCATCATCCTGGTCCTTCGACTAGAGACATTTTTTGTCTGCGCCTGCTAGAGATTTAGAGAGGATACATCCTGTCTGGGGTATATAGGAGGCACCAATAAAGAAATTCAGAGAACTTACTGCTGTTTCACTCCTCAAGTCCGAAAGTCCCTAGGCAGCTGCCTTCCTCGTTCCCCCTTTTAGAGTCTTCCTATGTTTGTCATGTTATGTCCAGAGAGTTTAATTATTAAGAGAGTGGATTGGTGAGCAATGGGGCTATCACATCTTGGGAGGCTAAAAGTCCCTATTATTCTTTTTTAAAAACCTAAAATTGTGATCACATTCTATATATGGTGATGAGCTGCATAATGACATTTCAGTGAATAATGGATCGCATATACAGCTGAGTACCATAAGAGTATAATGAAACTAAAAAATTCATATCACCTAGTGACATTATAATGGTTGTAGCCATCGTAACATCACAGGGCAACATATTACTTTTTCTATGCTTAGATATGTTTAGATACACAAATACTTAAATATAAAAATTGTGTTACAATTGCCTAAAGTATTCAGTAAGGTAATATGCTGTACAGGTGTGTAGCCTAGGAGCAAACAATAGGCTATATACCATATAACCTAGGTGTGTAGTAGGCTGTATCATCTAAGAGGATGTAAGTACACTCTTTGATGTTCACACAATGACAAAATCACCCAACACATTTCTCAGAACTTATCCCTGTCATTAGGCAATGCAAGACTGTATAATCGTGTATTATTTTTACTTACCATATCATAAGTTTTAAATTTCTGTTATAAACAGAACTCTTTGCAAGTACAATTTTAAAGGCTATATAATTCCCCACTGACTGGTCAGAATATGATTTATACAGTATAATCATTTTCCTATTGCTGAAAATTTAGATTCCCATATTATTGCTATAATAAATAATGCACTGATGAAATGTTTGTGCCTTAAAGTTTTCTGTATTTAAGATTATTACCTTAGGATAGCATCCTAGAAGTAGAATTACACATGGTCCAACAGCAACATGTAAGAGAACCCCTTGTGCCCTTGCCAACACTGAGACTTCAACATACTTAAACTTTAAACTTCAAGTTTAAGGTTTGAACATGAGCCAATTTGATAGAAAAAAGAAAACAATACTGCAATATGTTCTAATATGCATTTCCTTGATCATCAGTGAGGCTCATCAGCTATCCTCCTTTTGAAAATGGGCTTTTTATGTCTTTTGCCTATTCATATTCTGCATGCTTTACATACTCTTTCAGTAGAAGAAACTGACTAAATATGTACAAGTAGTTTCTTAAACCAAAATATAATTCAATGTCAAAGATCAGCTAAGAGGAAAATAATCTAATCCTCCATTCAGCTACTACAAATATCAAGTGCCTAACAAGAAAGTACCTGCCAATTCAATAAAGACATCAGATAAAAATAAAACATTTGGAACACTTCAGCTTTCTGGATAACTCCTGATCTTGCAAATTATGTCGTTTAAAAAGAATAAACATTCCCTGAATCTTACCTGTAGCATAACAACATTGTCACCTTCAAAAGTGACAAACACATCTGTGTCACACTTTAAGCCTGAGATTCGGTTTTCCATCATGTAACCCTATTGCAGAAAAAAAAAAAATACACACATTTTAAATTTGCAATCCCATCATTATACAGGACTAACATTTTCTTTGAAATTAAAAAAATATACAGAAAATTGAAAAGAAGAAAATAACATATTTCTCCTACCCAGGACAACCACTGTAAGAATTTAGATCCCTCGTATTAGCTTTTGGTTCATAAATATTATTTTGAGTCTTACCTTCACTAGTAGTAAAAACATTCAGCAATAGTCCTGTCATATTTCTCCAAAATATTTCAATGCATTATATTGATTTTTTTATATCTTTCTTCCAAATCTTATAAATGCTAATAAATGGCAAGATATTAGTGATTATACTTACCATATGCAGGAGAATGATGCCTGCCCCCCCCCTCCCCACAACCCTCCTGAAAATTAGCAAGTATATCTACAAAAACTCTTGGGAGTTAACACAAAAATCCTAAATTGCCAATTGTCATTCTGCATCTTAATATCTTAATATCATCAAATACTCAGCATCATAAACTCACATTCCAGCTAATTTTTTCTTTTCTTTTTTTAACTCTCCGACATCCTTATTCAAATGGCAGTAAGCTGCCGCTCGTTTTCAAAGTGTTGCCAGTGTTGCTGCACAAATGAGAGGATCAGCAGTACAAGGGAAAGCAGGCTCCACCCCAAGCAAAACAGAAGGAAGCAAAGCTTGTTTTTGTTTGGCCCTGGGTCCTTCCCCTCTGAAGGCCCCTGCGCCACTCTCCCTCCAGCTCACTGCTCTCCCCACGACATCTCCAGAACCTCTTCCATTGTCCGCATCTACTTCCACAAATCACTCCTGCCTAGAGATCACAAGCAACTGTCCTGTTACTTCTCCCGGGAGTGCTTACAGCTAGCGCCTAAGTTCTGAATGAGAAATGACAAGTTTCACCCCTGTTAAAATTTTCAAACCACATGGGCCGGCAGGGAGTCATACACTCCAATCTCCAGGCCCCTTAATGCCTAGGACAACCTGCTCCATTTCTGAAAATGGCCACAGGAGTCACAGGAACCTGGACTTGCAGAGTCCTGCTGCCTGCAGAGCCTCGCAAACCTTGAGCGTCAGCCCTGCTCCTGCAGGACGGCCTCCCTCTAGGGCCCGGCCGCCTTCCCCTCTTCCCCTCGGCATCACAGCCCACTGGACACTGTTAGCACATAGACGCAAATACATCACCACAAACCCAGCAGAGTCCTGAATTACTTTCATAAGGTTAAAGTGATTTTATTCACAGATAATAAATCAATAACATATCCAAATCGAAGTTCATTTCTCCCAACCCCATCATCACAGAGTTAAACCCACTTCATAGACAAACCACGTGAAATCTGTTTCTGACAGAAACGTATTCATGCCTCAGAGTGTCCCCCACAATGCTATAGCTGACTCACTTTCATCCTTCTAATTCTACCATATATCAAGTGCCCACTACAAGCCAGATACTGTGCTGGGGCTTTATACAAACTTAATTTATCTCACTCAATCCTTTTCATCCTCACAGCAGCCCTGTGAGGTAGGCATTATCCCATTTTATAGATGAAGAAAGTGAGATTCAGGGACTGTGTTGGAATATTCTTGAATCATCGCTCAAGTTCTGGTGTGGAAAAAACTAAACTAAAGCTAATTAACACTAAATACACCACCTCAGTGTTGAGAAGAAGCAGTTAAACCTAGGCAGCACAGCTGCTGAGCACTCAAAATATTATAATAATATTAAAGAAATAAAGCACTTTTTTTTCTGCGCATTTTGCTCTGGTCTCTTCCCGTGGGGAAGAGGGCAACAGTTCTTTGCTGCTTCCCGACTCTTTTAAACTCGTTCTCACCCTGCGCTGGAAACTACACAGCCAGAGGGATGACGTACTCAAAGGGAAGAACCAGCAAACAGATACTAATAGTCTCTCAGAGAACAGGCAATGGAGTCCTGTGAACATACAGATGTTTCTTCAAATGCAATATAATTTATTTCTCTCCTATGTGGAGAGAAACTCAGAAACTCAGCTTTAAACTCCACTTCTAATTCTAAAGTCAAGTAAAACTGCATGTTGATGCTGGACTCGCCATGGCCCTCGAGAACTAAGGTAACAAGGCTCACGGCCCTCAAAGAGCTCGTAGGCAACTGAAAATGAAACAGCAACGAGAAAAACCAAAGTCCAATCGTTTCAAGGGTGGTAGGGGGAGGGCTGTGGTTGGCAAATTACTTCCCATCTCCTGAAATTACCAAGGATGTATCGACATCCCCTCGTGCCACTCCGGCCTTTAGATGATGCCCAACTTTGACTCTGGAATGCCGCTCAGCCCTGGCCGTGGGGCTCTGCGTTATATCCCATGTCCACCGCATTTGATCTCTGTGTTCCCTCTCAGAGTGCCCACCCAGGACAGGGCTGGTGGTGCGATCCAGGTGGCATGCAATGCTTATCTCCTGGCCTCTCCATTCGCTCACATAGTCCTCTCTGTCCAGCTACCTGCCCGCCTTGCTGAAGAGAAGAGTGCACCTGAGCATTGAGTTAGATGGCGCTGGGCTTCAACCCCAATCCGCCACTCAAGCGAAAGCTGATATCCATTCAGCAGCAAATACTGGACTTTGCTCCTACAGTCCAGGCCCTGTTTTGGTGCTGGGTATGCAACAGACAATGAGATAAAGACCATGCCTTCTTGGACTTACAGTCTAGAAGGGGCAGACAAGCAGTAAAAAAATTTTTTTCAAAAGCAGATGATGGCACTGATGTATAATTATAGAAAAACAATATGCTAGAAAAAAATAAATCAAGGTAAGAAGACGGAGCGTGAAGGTGGCAGGTGGGGCAGCCCTTTTAGACATAGGGTTCAGGGCTGCTCCCTGTGCTGGGAATTCTGACCAGAGATAGAATACAGCAAGGAGGGGCCCCACCGAGACCCCGGAGGCATGGCAGACACAGCCCATGTGGGCTCGCACTCACTCACGGTGCTCTGAAAGCTGGCTGAACACGGCTAACGGCAGCGCAGCCCGGCTGCAGGAAGAGCAGGTGCAGAATGGCTCATGCAAACCCGCCCAGCTCCTGCAGCCTGGGTGCCGTATGGTAGCGGCGCTGCCGGGCAGTGTCCTGGCACCCCTGATTCCCGTGGGGAGGGTGGCCCAAACTAGAGGTGGCACAGCTCTCCCAGAGGATGTGGAGGTGGCCAGCCCTCACAAAGACCAGGACAGGCACGGCAGGACAAAGAGTCCCGGGCGAGGGGGAAGGAAGGAGCCTTTCCTGGGCCCTGGCCGCAATCAGCGATCAGCTCTTTTCAGGGGGGTGAGGCAGAGGAGGAAACAAGGGACCGAGACTCTGCACCTTCCCTAGGTATCTCGTGGTCAGAAAAAACTCTGCACTTAAAGGGCCTTGAGCAAGGTCCTGTGCCCAGGACACAGGATGTCAGAGGGCACCTGCAATAGCTGCATGACACCCAGCGAGCTGGAGCCAGGGGCTGGAGAACATGACGCGGGGGCGCTGGGCGGGAGCTGACAGCCCCCTGCCTGGGGCTCCTGGTGCTGGCAGGGCTGTGGCTGCAGGTTCAGAAGAGAAGGCTGAGCAGCAGAGCCATGCTGAGCACCCTGCGATCCTGATCCTTGATTAACTCTCCATCATCTTCTCCAAGCCCTGGGTAAGGCCCTGAGCCAGGCCTGGGTGAGCCAGGATGAGGTGTCTGGACTGAGTCCACTTTTGCCTCAGGTGGAAAAGACCTGTTGGGCCCGGGGCGGGGGAGGGACCATGCTGCAGGGAGTCGTGCGGTTGCCATGCTTTCTCCTCTCGAGTGCATCTCCCCGGAGAGAAACAGCCTCGGTGAGAACCTGCTTCTGCCTCCTTAGTGCCACCGAGTGCCAAGGGACACACCCTTCCCATGGTGTCGTCCAGAGGGAGCTGAAGTATTCTGGGGAAACAACCGTGGCTGCACGTCAAGTTCTCCACTCCCACCCCTGCCGCGGGGCGTTTTCCCTCCCACTGCCAGCCTCGGGCTCCCTCGCTGCCCTGGGATCCGCCTCCTTTCTCGAAGCCTCGGGACGGTCTCGGCTGTAACTGGGGGGCCACAGGTGCCCACTCAGCAGAAAGCGTGCCACCTCACACGCGATTCTCGGGCTTCGGCTCCCCCAAAGCACATGCCCGCCCTCCTCAGCTGAGGCGGCGCTGGTTATGGCGCGAGGGGCTCCAAACAGTCGCGGTTCTTCCAATGGCGACGGACAGCTCTGCTCACCGATGGCCCTAACAGCCAGGACGGCCGGATCTCCCCAGGGCTCTGTTGGGAATCTCTCCACTGCAGGGCCTGGTCAGGTGGCCCTCAGCATAGCTCAAATTAAAACTAAAAGTATGCTTTGGAGAAGCCTGTACAAACAGCACAGAGAGCATGAGCGCGTACGGTACAGGCTGGATCGTGTCCCCTCGACGTTCACAGGCTGAATGAAGCCCTAAACCCCAGCACCTCAGGACGTGGCTGTATTGGGAAATAGGCCCTTTAAAGAGGTAATTACGATTAAAGGAGGCAATCAGTGGCCCTAAGCCAATATGACTGATGTCCTTATAAGGAGAGCAGGACACAGACACACGCCGAGGATGACCACTGCAGACACAGGCAGGACACGGCCACCTACAAGCCAAGGAGACAGGCTTCGGAAGGCACCAACCCTGCTGCGCCGTGGTCCCAGACGTCCAGCCTCCAGAGTTGTGGGAACTTAAATTTCCGCTGTTTGAGCCACCCAGTCCACGGCACTTTGTCTGGCAGCCCTGGCGGGCCGATACAGTGCGTGTCTGAGGTGTCCCCTCAAGTCCGGCTTGTTCCTGACCAGAGCAAACCAATGTCAACTGCGTCTCCAACGTGAACGAATCTTTTGGAGTCTGAGGAAATCGTTTTCCACACCATCACCTCCAGGCACTCAACAGCACCTGAGGTTTTTATTACAAAATGGATTTTTTCGTCTTTCCACATTGGACTCCCGAGTGGATGGGGGGGGAGCATGGACTTGTATATTCTTGCT